TAGTACAAGAGCCACAAATATAGTTCTGTGGAAGCTGCTAGTCCTACTTGCAGGAGCAAAAAAGAGCCAACTGATTTTCCCCTGCAAATGGAGAAATCTATTTTGCTTCGCCTATGAAACCAGGAACCAGATAAGAGGGTAGACTTTTGCCAGAGATAATTAATGGGTGTGGTTAAGTATCCTTCTATTAATTCTCTTCTACAAATCCCTCCACTTACCTGTTTGGAAATGCACATGTACCAGATTAATGTGTACTTCAAAGAAAATTGTGTCAATGGCAGAAATATGTTGACCAACCACCAAAGGCAGGAAAAAGTTGCTTAGCTGATCTCCAGTGGGTACAAATTTCACAGCTTGTTATCACCAAAGACAACATTTAAGCTGGACTCATTCATTGTAGCAAGGTGTAATGTGGTTTATTTGGTTGTCTCTTAGTGTTTTATATGAAACCTGCCACTGTGATTTGTAAATTATGATTTAAGGCTTGGCATTATGTGAATATAAGCAATTATTGCTTTTTCAATAAACCAGCTGCTTGCGAGTCTAGCTGTTATCTCTCATGCTTGCCTACATAAACTCATACTTAGATGGTGCAGAGAGAGGATCTCTAAGGTTAGTCTCAAAAGTATTTCCTCATTGGGAACTAAATGTCTTGAGCTGATACTTATTTAGGATACATTAATGACTTTTATTTGTTCGCTGAAATGTGTGAATTGCTTTGAGAGTCCTGTATTGGATTCTAAGCAGGATACAAATACAGAAAAACAGGAGTATATAACTAATTATCATCATAGTATGCTGAAGATGAAAACTCTCCCCATATCTGACCTTCATTCATCAAGGAACTCCCAATCATATTAAAATATAATGCAGCACTTGCACAAAATTATTCCTTGCCATTTTTGAGATGAAAAGCCATTTATGCCCATCAAATTGTATGCTGCTTGCCAAAACTGTTTGATTGGATAACTTTTTTGGAACACTGCTCATCACCGTTCTTTATTAATTTACTGAAACTCCATGAATTGGCAATTAGAACTGCTGGTCAATAGAGCTAGATTGCAGTCTTGTAAACAAATCCACAAAAGTAGCAGCAAAATCTTGAATTGAGCTCCTGATGATTCCATGGACACATGTATGCAGCTCCTGATCTCCTTTCAGGGCTAAGACTGACCTGCACTTTTCCCCTCCCTCCACCCCCAGAAAGGAGTTAAGAAACATATCTTTTATACTGCCATCACTGATTTAATATGCCAGCATGTTGCTTTAATATATTTTTATATTTTGTGTATTGTTTTTTGGAAAGGTGATATGAAAAGACTATCAGCAAACAGTAAGTTTCAACAGAAGAGATTAGAGAACTGAATAGAATAGAGAATTGGATTGAAGAGAATTGAACTGAACTGAATTGAATTGAATTGAATTGAATAGGGAAAGAGAATTGAATTAGAGATTCAATAGAAGAGATTCATTACCTAGTTGGGTAATGAAACATCTACAAGCAAATAACCAAGCTCAGAGAGCACCAAGGACTCCACAATAGTATGTTTTTAGTATTTATTATTCACTAACAGTCACTGGAAGTAATTCTTATTATTTCTCACTTCTTTTACCAGTTCTTCCTCTCCCTCAGAAGCTGGGTGTACTTATATTATATGCCATTTCCAGAACTATTTCTCATGCACATTATGGGGGGGGGGGTGACGCACAACAAATTATACAATAATAAATTCTTTAAAATCCCACAAGGCACTGTTACAACTTCTGTGTCACTTCACTTAGCAAAAACACAAATCATGAAGGTGTGTAAAATTCTAACAATACACAGTCATAGGCTTAGAAATAGGCCCACACAAAATTAACAAACCTAAAAAGTACTGGTATAAATCGCTGCTGACAATAAAGCATTTGAGAATCCAGGCTTTATCTAGAGGACCTTCATAAAACAAGAATGAAAAGAAGAGACTTGTAAGTGAGAAAAAGGGAAGAGAACTGAACTTTTCTACTGATAGCTTTATAATAAAATGAAAAGCTTGGATCTCTGACTGAGAAGATATACCAACCAGAGAATTTTATTTCTCAAAAATTGTACAGCCCCTCTTAACACGAATGACCACTAACCAGGGCAGCCTCTGCAAATGGGTGCTTTCCAATTATGCAGGAACTACAACTAGTAGAATTCATGCTTGCTATTAGAGATCACCAGTTGGGCAAAGCTGCTGCAAGGTCACCAATTTCTGAAATCTTTCTGTTCTGTGGCTTAGTCTTATGTTCTAAATGTTCATGTTTGTAAATGTAAACATATGTTCTTTTAAAGGTGAGTGAAGGACTGTTGATAGATTTCGAAGGCTGAATAAGTCTATTTCCCTGATGCTGAAGATAACATCACTAACTCCAATAATAACACTGCTAGGGCAGATATGGGGGCAGAATGGGCCCCTGGGTCTGCCATGGGAGTTAGTTCCATTGCCATGGCTAGTAGCTGCTTTAAGGTTGGGTGAAATATGCTTCAGTTGGCCTGAATGTCTCACCAGTTCATGCACAGCAATTATTTCAAATTATCATTTGGATTTCACACAATAAATGTCTACAAAGCGGCTGCCTCCACTTTGTTATTTAAGTGATCACAACGTTGACTTCAAATACCATCTGACACACACATACCCACACCGTCATACTGGTAGGTTGCTCTCCAAATCTGTAACTATAATCCTTTCTTCTACTTCTGATTAGGGCTATAGTTTAACACAGTGTTTCTCAAACTTGGGCAACTTTAAGGTGTGTGGATTTCAATTCCCAGAATTCCCCAGCCAGCATGGAAACAAGGCTGTTTAAATGGAATACTGACTAAGAACAATCCACATTACAATATTCTTATTACAGATCCCATTTGCTACTGAAAAAAGAAATATTTATTTAAAATAATTTATATTCTTTTCTTCTTCCATGACAAAATCAGACTGGTGCATACTACTTTGATTTTTTAAATGATAACAGTAAAACTCATAGCTAAGATATTTCAGAAACCTCAAAAAGTCTGATTAAAAAGAAAAGCCTTAACTGTCCTCCTTATCAGAAGCAGAGAACCCAAAAAGAGCTCTCTGAGAAGAGAATTTCAAATGTGTGGAGCTACCACTGAAAAAGCCTTGTCATGTGTCTGGATAAGGTTCTTGCTATAAAATTCCAGCTTCTGGTTAGGATTAGATGAAGGAAAAAAAATTAGGCCTCTGTATTTAGGTCAAAGTCAGCATCCTGAATTGTACACAAAAACAAATATATAACTCTTCCCCACTCCTGCCCCGAACCTCCCTATAGCATTATTATCCAATTGAAGAAACTAAACTGTCTTCAAATACAGTCCCACATAAAGTGCAATTATTATTACGTTCTAGGAAGAGACACTGCTATGCAGAAATCTTAACAGTGGAAAAAAACATTTTTCTTCACCACCACTTGAACTTGCAACCTAAAACTATTCCTATTGCATGGATGAAATTTTGTCTTGTCCAGACATAATTTGTTAGCTCTCATCCAAGCAATTATTTAACATTAAGCACCAATCTAAGAGTGTGATCAGCATATAGACTGAAAAACACACAGGACAAAATAACACCTCGAGAAGCTCCACAAATTAAAAACCATTATTTCCTTCTGGAAGTACTAGACCATTACTTTGATATTTGACTCAGAGAAATAATGCAGAAGGATACTAAATGGCACTAAATACCACTGAGAAGTCATAATCAACATGAATTTCCCTCTAAAGGTATTTTACTAAGGCTACTCTTTTACTCCCATGTCCAGAATGGATGTCAGATTAAAATAACCCTAGAAAATGAATTTAATTTAGGAACATCATGACCCCTGGCTCCAACTTCTGTCCTCTCCCTGCCCAAAGAAAACTGAGACTGGCTAATAATTATCTAATACCTTAGATAATGGCTTTAAAGCAACATATTTAAATTTAAGCTGATAGCATCAAACTAATAACAATTGCCATTTGTATCTCAGGTTAAAGCTTTCCAGATATGTTGCAGCTACAACTCTCAGAATTCCCATGGTGGACAGGAATTTTGGGACTAATACTCTCAACACATCTGGAAGACATCAAGTTGAGGACCAGCTTTTACTTATGTACCACATAACAGCAGCAAATTAAACACATATGGGTGGTCAGAACTTATTCAAATTGAGTGCACTTAAGTATTTTGCAGAGAAATGAGAAGAAATCTTGATTTTCTTAGCAGACACCAGAGCTGTAGGTTACACTAGAAATGCCAACAACCGTGTTGGAAGAAGGCAATGAAAGACCACTTCTACAATGCTTCCAAAAAAAAATTACATGTCCATGAAGTCCACAGGGGTTGAACTACTCAAAAGAGACACTGCCTTCAATAATCAGTGATGGTAGATTGCAGATGGAGGTGGAAGGACAACTGAATTCGTGAAATTATTTGTGGAATGTGCATAAACAGATCGGTTCCAAAATCTTGTGGAGACCCTTCTTAACATTTTTTTCCAGACCAAGTAAACATGCATTTTTTTCTTTACCACTCTTTTCTATGGTTTACCAGACTTCAAAATTCCATCTTATTTAGTGGAGGCCATTTGTAGAGGCTCTCAAAAATTTCTCCTGCCTGAGCCTGAGCATCAAGACCACTATGACTGACAACTGTAATCATCTGCTTATTCTTTCTTAGCAATGACACACCTACACAAAGAAACTCTGCACTAAATAAACTATAATCAATCATGTGCCAAACTGAAGCCTGTATAGCCTATCTCGTTCTACCGGTCTGACTACTAGACTGCATGAATAGAGCACATCCAAGCTAATGGAGCCAAATCTTGACCATGCGCACATCTAAGTACATAGTGTGCCCCTCTCCTAACATCACAGTTTCTCCCCTCAAAAAAGGGCACTTTAACTTAGTGGGAAACAAACAGGAAAGAGGTAAGGGTATTGAGGTGAAGACAGATCAGTAACATATCAAACTTACCTTACCAGTGCATCTGGTTTGCTTAGCTGGTTATTGGGGATACAATTTTCCATTAAGTCTTTGTGTGTGCTTGGGCTCTTGCTAGTGCACTTCTGTTTTTTCTCATTCTTAGCAGATGAAGAAGGGATGCTTCCATTAGTTGCACTGTGGTTGTGAGGTGAGGAGTTCACAACTCCACTAGCATTTTTGTAATTTTTGGATGAGGCAGTGCATGAGTCCTCTTTTAAGAGGTTTTCTGTACTTCCCACAAGATCATTATTTAATCTTTTACTGTTGATATGGTTCTCCATATATTCGATTTCCTGTATTTTAGAGTCTACAGGTTGCAAAATATTGTTATTTATTCCAAGGTTATGTTTTTTGGCATCCTTGTCTTTTTCTTTCCCCTTTTCTCTGTATTCTAGTTCCGGTAATGTTGTAGATAATTTTTTATTAGCTGGAATGCCTCCATTGTGTTGCAAAAGTATTGAGGAATCCATCTCAGACAATCCTTTGGCTGCTGAAACATCCAGAAGGAAGGAAGGAAGGAAAAGACAATATTTAAAATTAAATCAGAAGTAGCATCTATTCTCATGTTTCTTTTACAAGGGATTTACGTTACTTCTATTACTCCCTCTCCCCAGTAAAACATTTTTCCTTCAGTTACAGTGTAAAAAAATAAATTATACATTCCTAATAGTTTCTGAATTAATGGATTCCTGAGGTGGATTCCTGTGTTGCATCAATCAGGCCATTTCAGTAAACTTCAAAATAATTTGGAAAATTCAACTAACCTGCTTTCTAAATGGAGGGAAAAAGTATACCAATTTATGAAATGTTCAACTGCTTCCTTGTATTTATTTTTATTTATTTATTTATTAAATTTTTCAACCACCCATCTCCCCCCAGTGGGGGAACTCTGGGA